GAGATTCAATCCTTGTCTCTACTTACTGGTTCTGGTAGTGACAGGCAGCCTGAATGCTGACTTTTTTTGGTTTCATTAGGAGAAATGAAAATATAAAAAATGGCCAGTGTTTTTCTTTGCTCATCCTTTTGCATAGATATTTCATGATCTATGCAAACTGCTTTGGCTACATGGCCCCTTTGTATGAAGACCAACTTGAACCTAGCTTTGGGATGCTGAAATGGGATTTACCCAGGGGGCCTCAGCTGGTGGATGCCAGCACCTTATCCTATGAGCACCTGAGAGGTCAAATCTGATTGCCTCTACCAAGTGTGGAGGAGATTGAGAAGCCAGGGCGAAAGACCTGCTCCAGATCCCAAACTGATTGTAATTGCCCCAAGGCCACAGGCTAGTGTGAAGTCATGCAGGTGACCTTGGTGCCCATCTAGCTGTTCCCCATGGAGGCTGGTCTGCAGCCCCTACTACTCAGGCCACTGAGTAGTCTGGTTGGAATGAACACTGAGTGGTCTTAGTTCTTCCTAAAACTCTTAAACAGAAAACAAAAGTAAACAGTTTCTAAGCGTGGTTGTGTCCATTAAAAAAAATTCCTAGGGCTTAGAGCTGAGCCTCAGGGAAGGTGGGGGGCTGATGGCACCCTCCTCTCCACCTGGCCCTGGCTGCTTCAGAAGAATGGTAGGAGAGGATATCAAACATCTGCACATCCCAGGACATCTGAGGGCTAAAGTTCTGTTCTCTGGACCAAATTACGCCTTGCATTTGGTTTGGACCTAACTGAGTAAAATTGAATAATAACCATAGGTAAAAGATTCGAATTGCAATTTGCTTATTTGATGCGAGCCTACTGAGAACAGACCTGTGCTGGCTGCAGTGAGTGCCCTGGGAGTCACACTTTGGTACCAACACAAGCACCATTTTAAAAATTTTATTTCTACTTTTTCTATATTATTAATTTTCTATAATGAGAATATGCTTTTAAAAATCAATATGTATATCCACACAATGAATATATTTCATCCATATAAAGAAATGAAGTACTGATACCTGCTGCAACATGAATGAAACTTTCAATCATGTTGAGCGGAAGAAGCCAGTCAAAAAAGACCACATACTCTTAGCGTCCATTTATAAAAAGTCCAGAACAGGTGAATCCATAGAAGCAGTAAGTAGATTACTGGTTGCCTGGGCCTGAGAGAGGGTGAGGGGTCTTCTCCTTCTTCTTCTTTTTAAAGTCCTCACCCAAGGAAATGGTTATTGATTTTAAAAAGAAGAGAAGAGATGGAGAGAGAGATGGAGAGAAACATTTATCAGTTGCCTCTTATACGCAGGCTGACCAGGGACCAAATCCACAACCTAGGTATGTGCCCTGACCGCGAATAGAACAGGTGACCTTTCAGTTTACAGGACAACAATCCAACCAACTGAGCCACACCAGCCAGGGCTGGACAGGATTCCTTTTGGAGTGATCAAAATACTCTGGAATTAAAGAGTGATGATGGTCATACAACTCTGTGAAGATACTAAAAAACACTGAATTGTACGCTTTCAAAGAGAGAATTCTATAGTGTGGGAATTATGCCTCAATAAAGCTGGTATTTAAAAAGTGAACACATTTTTTAATTTGGGAGCAAAGGAAATGTTATATCAACTTTTTAATTAATTACAAAGAAGAATAAAATAAAGACTGTGTTATAAAACACTGTGGCCCCAGTTGGGTGGGGAGCCCCATTGGGTGGGGTCAGAGTGTAGGGGCCCAGTATTCACCTTCCAAGCCACACTTGACCCCCTTCAGAGAGCCACCAGCCCCCTTCTTTTGGGTGCAGGTTCCTGAAGTGCCATCTTTGACCCATCTCTGTCCACCACTATCCAGTGAGTTGTGGTTCCTCATCACAGGTATGAGGCTGCCTCCCTGTGCTGTGGCCTTCAGGAGGGCTCAAGGAGGGCTGCACTGGGTCTGATCACTAGACCGTCCCAGGCTGCCTAAGCTCACATGGGGATAGTACCTGGCAGTTGGGCTCCCTCTGGCAAGATAAAACTCATCCTTCCTACTGGTGAGCCTTCTGGGGCCTGATATGAGCGGAGGTAGAGGGTGGGTTCTCTGCTTCCATGAGTGAGTTTTTGTTGAACACCAACTGTACCTCAACACTGTTGATCACTATCATTATATCCATCTCACAGATGAGCAAACCGATGACTTAGTTTTGTTGTATGCTGGGTTCTGGTCCCAGAAGTGCATCTGCATGGGCAGGTATGTGCCTGCAGGTGCCCATCTCACTGACCAGGCTGAGTATCAGGGCAGACTAGACTTGGGGGTCCCTGGCATTGGAGTCTCAGGTAGCCGGGGTGACAGCTATGGGAACTAGCGGGGGCACTGTGGTTAACTCTGTGGCCTTGAGCAACCTACTTAAAGTTAGAAAGTCTCTGGGCTAGGCCTCAGTGTACTCATCTGTGCCATGGAGATAATCAACCCACTTGGCCTGATAGCCACTGAGATGGCTGGCTATTCCAGGCAGCAGAAAGAGGTATTGCCATCACCAGCCTGGGCAGGCAGTTTGCAGAGGGCCTTCTGCAGGCTTGGCTCATGTCATCCTTAGGGCAACCAGTAAAGCAGACAGGGAGTGCTTGTTCTCCCCATCAGAGTCAGGGAGATGCAGGCTCAGAGATGTCAGTGTCTTGGCTAAGGACACAGAGTGGTCCTGGCAAAGTTCGGGTCCCAAGGTCTGCCCAAGGATGCTTCAGGCTTCCCTTGCTTGGATCCCAGGACCTGTACCAGCGCCCAGCCCAAGGTTAATTGCAAAGAGAACTGTGATATCTCCACTAGCTGCTTAGCTGTGGACTCCAATGATCATGGGTCAGCAGAGGAAGTAAGCTCCCTGTCACAGGAGGCATGGAAGCAGGGTACCTGAAACCATGCTGAAGGGCTGAGAGTGCATGTAGTACTCAGTCAGGGCAGTTTCTCCCTGCTCTCTCAGGTCCTGAAGTTGCCCCTGTAATGTGTGGGAATGCTGCTGCCATACTAGGCATACCAGCTAGCTGTGGATGGGCAGTGGCCCACAGGCAATAATGTGAATAACCAGCCATCTTCTCTATCATAAGATAGGCACAATGTCCATGCACCACCTGTTTGGCCCTTTGAGAGCTGAGAGGAGGCCAGATTGAAATGCGTCTCTCTGGAACATGCATAGCTCCATCCCTTCTCGATTTTTCCCTGGACAGGCCTAGGCATGCCTATCACAGGCTTGGGACTCACAGTATCCTCAAAGACTTACTGAGTCTTGGAAAAATATGCAGTTTTTCAACAGGGACAAACCAGGATGGTCAGGCCTATTCTTCAGGGGGGATACTGAAGCTTGGCAAGGGTGGGATTGGCCCAAGGCCATGCAAATGGCAGCATAAGGTTGGGGTCTCTAGTTTTAACAGGAAAGACAGTAAGGTCTTCACCCACCCACCTCTGCCTGGAAGGCCCACTCTGGGAGGAGGACTCACTCAGATCCCCACATTGAGGGGTCTTCAGGCTGGTAGAGCTCTTGTCTGCTGCTGTCCTTTCCTCACGTAGACTCTGAGTTTGATGCCTATCCCAGAAGTGGGCATGTGGACTGCAGACTGCATATCACAGGTGTGTGCCAAATGCCCAGTCCAGTGCCAGCACTTTGTGGAACCATGGCTCTCTGACCATGGAAGGAGGGAAGTCCTTATCTGTGGCACCACCCCATTTCCATGGTGTAAATTCTCCCAGCTTTACCACATGTCACTGAACAGAGTTGGAAAGAGATACCAGCCCTCACAAATCAGTCTGCTGGCTTTAGCACCCACCAGCACCCTTCAGTACCCTGCAGGATCTTGGAAAGTCCTGCTGCTCTTTTAAGTCAGCTTGACACCCCCACCCCACCCTGATTGTGAGGGTATGATGTCACCTGAGTTCCTTTGTACCAAGGGCTCCAGGTCCAGCAGCCACAGGCACACCATGTGTCCGAAAGTTTCTGTGTGCTTGACAAATGTGCCATGCCAAGGGGTGGGACCAACATGAGAACAGCCTGTTGTCTCCCTTGGACCAGCTGCCTCCCCTTGCCTCTGTGTCCTGCTATGGAAGTGGGCCAATGACTACATATCACAGGCTTATGGAGGACAGAGTGGGAACCTTGATGGAGCAGGGCTAGGAAACTAGTAGTGTAGTCTTTGCCACATGCCATTTTCCCACAATAAGGATCAAGATCCCCAAGAGAAAAGCATGCCTGTGGGGAGTCCCGAGGAGGCAGAGAGTGGGGGAGATCTGGTAAAAGGGGGCAATACCATTTAACAGAGGTGGGTGAGGAAGAACACTGGGGACTAAGGGACCTCTGCAAGGTTCTCTGGGTCCTATCCACCTACATGCTAGTTCAGCCTGTCTTAGGAATTCTGGGATTTAGATCGGATAATTTTTTTGCCTTTGGAGTCTCAGTTTGCTTAACTGAAAATGAAAATAATGATTACAGTGCTTGCCCTCCTGTCGAGGTGGTGAGATCCTGATGGATTCTGGTGAAGTGAGGGAAGGGCACACCACGGTTCAAGGAGGCTTAGCCCCTGTTGGGGTGCTGGTGGGGTTCAGGCTTCTTCCTGAGGTCTTCCTGAGGGCTGGGAATAACTGGCCCTGGTCCTTCGCCCTCTTGCCTGCCCATTCTGCGCTGGCACAGGGCTCAAAGGTCTAGCACGCCTGCTGTGCTAGGTGAGGTAGAAAGCCTGTGCCTCTTCTGCAGTACACATGGGGCCCTCAGTAGGCCTGCGAGGCAGTACAAAGCGCTCGGGGTCCAGGAGTGCAGCCTGAAGTGAGAGCTGAGGGAATACTGAGGACTTCTGCTGCTGTGGAGCCTGGCAGAGATCTGGAGAAGGCCTCAGGGGCCGGTCTGCAGGTGGCCGCGAGCGCGCTGGAGGCCAGGTGGGCGTGCCAGGCCCCGCCCCGCCGCGCCAGCCCGGGGCTTGGCAGCACAAGCCCCGCCCTCCAAGCGCGCCGGGTCCGAGCCCCAGTGAAACGCGGCAGCGCGTAGCCGGAGCAGCACGCGGAGACGCAGCCCCGCGGGAGGCCTTTGGGAGCACGTCAGGACCCGACCCGAGAGCGACCTGGGCTCGGAGCGCGTTTTCCAGACCCTAAGCGCGCCCTTGCTAGTCCCAGCTGCCAGGCCTCTGGCATGGACGGCGCCCGCTCATGTGAGTGCTGAGCACCCCCACCCCCCTTCTTTGTGTGCGCGCCGCCGCTGCCCCTTCCTCACGCACCCTTGCTGCGCCCCGAGCCGCGTCCTTTGTGGTGCAACCGCCGGGCCTGTTCCTCCCTTTTCCACAACCTCCTAGTCCCCTTTTCAGCCTGCCCCGGCCGCCTAGGAACAGCCCAGCTGAGCAGGGCTGGGCTGAGTAGGGCTCGGCCTCCTCCTGTAACGCTCTCCGGGTCTTGTAAGCAGCCCCTTCCCCAGGGAAAGCCCAGAAGGACCCTCCGTGGCTGGGGCGGGACGGGAGGGCCCGGCGCGGGCGCTGCGGCAGCGCTGTCTCATCCTACTGCTGGGACAGGTGCGGCGGGGCCCGCTTTCACGCCGGTCTCTGTGTCCTTGCCGGCAGAGATGGACGGCGATGGCGGCCGCCTAGACTCCGCTGGAGCACTGATGGAGGACCAGCGCGGCGCGGGGCCCGCGGGCAAGGTGGAGCCGGCGGCGGTGCCGCGGACGCGTGTGGCCCGACCCGGGCCACAGCGCTTCTTGCGGCGCAGCGTGGTGGAGTCGGACCAGGAGGAACCGCCGGGCCTGGAAGCTGCGGAGGCGCCGAGCGCGCAGCCCCCGCAGCCCCTACAGCGCCGGGCGCTGCTACTGTGCAAGACCCGCCGCCTCATCGCCGAGCGCGCACGCAACCGCCCAGCCGCCCCAGCGCCCACCCCGTCCGCTGCGTCGCCGGGTGCTTCCAGCGACCCCGGCTCAGAGCCTGCGGGTGCGCAGGAGCCGGGCTTCGACCCGGTGCCGGTGCCCGCCCCAGACCGCGGGCGGGGTGAAGAGGCGGCGTCACCGAGGAAAGAGGACGCAGGGACGCAGGAGGAAAGGCCGGAGCCGGGGCGCGCGCGCAGAGATGAGCCCGAGGAGGAGGAGGACGATGAGGATGACCTCAAGGCCGTGGCCACCTCCCTGGACGGCCGCTTCCTTAAGTTCGATATCGAGCTAGGCCGTGGCTCCTTCAAGACTGTGTACAAGGGTCTGGACACGGAGACCTGGGTGGAGGTGGCCTGGTGCGAGCTGCAGGTGAGGCGTGCTCTAGCAGGGGGGTGGTGAGTGTGTCCTTGTTTCTGTGGTGTCCTACCTGGTCGTAGGTAGTTCTTGGGCAGCAATGTGTCATCCGATGTGTGAGTGGCTGGATGTGTGGGAGCGGAAGAAGAATGGCTCTGTGTGATGCAGATTGGGTGATGGAGGACAAATCTGGTGTGTGGCATCCAGGTGTGTCACAATGTGGCCCACACTGGAGAGTGGGCAGAGAGTGGGCACTTAAAGGGTGATTTATCAGCTTTGTTCCTTCTTGACTCCTAATTCCAGTGTTGTAAGGACCCAAGTTGTATGGATCCTGGTGTCTTTGGAGAAGCAATGTGAGGGCTGCAGGACCCTGGATCCTGGGCTTGAGAACTCTGAACTGCTCTTAAATGTGTACTTTCCCAAGTCTTGCAAGGTGTAGGTGCCGCTGGCCTGGGGTTTCTAAGGGGCTTCTTCTGACCCACAGTCTGTTTAAGTTCAGGCCTGGTGGGCCCTGGGCCTGTAGGGCAATGCCTGGAAGTGCTGTGAGTAGCCTCTTGGAGCTCCCAAAGCCCATTTGTTCACAAAGTGGGTGCCTGAGGTCTTAAAACCAAGTCATGCAAAATGCAAGGGATGGTTTTTTTTTTTTTTAAAGGCAAATGCTCCATGCATTTTTCATAACCTTGCTCTCATGTTGGCTGTGTCAGGCCCAGCCCTGGAAGATTATATAAACCGTAACTGGAGCAGCCCTGGGCCATCCATGCCTGTAACAGTGGGTGTTTACTGGCCCTCTGTCTTTTGGGGGGGCAGCTGTCCAGCATGGGGCTGGCCTCGAGTGTAAGCCTACACCAGCATCCTGTAAAGTTAACCAGGCCATCCAGGCTTGATGCAGGGCCACTGGCCACACTGCAGGCTGCCTGCCCTTTTAGCTTAAAAGGATTTGGTTGCTCTGTCCTCCAGGTTTTAGCTGGAGGTGTGCATGTGTACGTTTGTGTGTGTGTGTGTGCATGTGAGAATGAGAGAGAGAGAGTGTGTGAACTGGGCTAATTTGTTGGTGCTAACCCATCCTTAGCCTTTCTCCTGAGACAAAGAACCCCAGAGGTCACCCCTCTTTGAAGCCCCTTTTCTGCCGTGGAAATGTAGGTGTCCCAGGGAGTCCTTCATGAGCAGCTGACAGCTCTTCTCTTTCATAGCCCTGCTGAGAGGTACCTTGAGGTTCCTGGGGTGTGCTGGAGATGGCTTGGGAGTGAGTGGGCATCACTGCTACATACAAATGTAGAGTGGAGGGAAGATCTGGAGAGGGAAGATTGGGGAAAAGAGGATTTTTACTTCTTAAGAGTAACCATGCCTTCCCACCTTCTTGCTCTTGCCAAGTGAGATATCATGGCAGCCTGAGTACCCACCAGTGCTCCCTTGTGAAATGCCTGTGCTGGGGAGGACAAGAATGGGGTAGCTGTAGCAGGCACAATTCTGAGTTGGACTTCAGCAGCAGAACCCTGGTGATCTGGTTGAGGCAGGCATTGCAGGTGCTGTGACCTTTGGAGGAGGAGGTTGTTACCTCCCATTTCTTTTAAGGGAAGGCAAGTGATTTTGCCTCCCAGTTCCTGAGCAGAGCTCACAGGGGTAGAGCCTGCTGCTGTCCAGGAGTTGTTTATCCTGGACTTTGGGTGATGATGGAAAGACTGGAGATGGCTTCCAATTTGGTGACATTCCTTGACCAGGAGATACTGGAAGCCCTAAGCCAGTAGGGAAACCATCTGTGTATCTTCCTTCCCCAACAGGAGATTAGTGTAACGTATGCCTTTGGCCATGATGCAGCATTGGGGTCAGCTGCCTGCCTTCTGCTTGGCAGGGCTGAGAGGGACCAGCTTAGGACAGCCAAGAACCTGCTGTGTGTTTAGCTGCTGTTTCCCCCAGTTTATTGTTGAGGACCCCCCACCCAAGGCCACCAGCATGGACCTACACGGCAGAGGGAAATTGTAGCATTATAGGGGGAAGCCCTAACCTGGTAATAGCAGTCCGTTTAGGACTGGAGATGAGTATGAACTGTAGGATGCCAAGTTAGGCTTCTCAACCACTGTGCATTGGGAGAGTGTGATGAATGGCCTGCTGGCTTTATGTCTGGGGAGGGGTTTACAATGTGGAGATGTTCTTCCACCTTGCCCCCCCACCCCCTGGCCCCAGAATTCCTGGGTGTTAAGGCTCCCTTCCAGTGGAGGGCAGGTCTCTTGGAGTGTTGCCCTGAGCCAGGGAGCTTTATATGGAAGGATTCCTCCCTCCCATGAACTCTCTTCTCTATCCCCAGATATACGTTGGCTAGCAGGTTTGGAATGCCCTGAAAACTCACCTTCCAAAGTCTGTTTACTTCTCTTACCCTCTGGATGCAGGGAGGTGTTTGTACTTGCTGGCTTCCCCAGAACTGACACAGTATCACCTGCTCACTTTTTCTGGGTTATCCTGTCAAGGGAAGGTCAGGACGCATTCCCAGATCTAATAAGTCTAGCTTGGAGGCCATCAGGTCCCATGACTCCCAATTTCCTTCTGTGTTACTATTGTGGAGAAAGCAGTATATTTTTACCTCATAGTGAAGGGCAGTGAGGTATGTCACCTCCTGGATTTTCCAGCTGTCCAGAGGTGACACTGATTTGGGGGGAGCTATTTTAAAGCATTACATCCCTATCTCTTTTCTTCCTAATAAACTTTCATTCTTGGCATCAGACCATGTCACGATAGCAGTGGAGGAAGTACAGATGCACCCAGAATCACCGCCCTTGCTCTGTCTCATGTTTCCTACATACCCAGGTCCTTCTTTGGCCAGCTCTAGTCCTGCACAGACCCCATCGTATCAAACAGTGCTTAGGTCCATAGGGCTTGTTCTTGACTCCGGGCTGCCTGGAAGAAATAAGTCTGGACCACTGACACTATTCCAGGCAGCTCGGGTCACTCTCTCAATTCTGCGCTGGCATGAGACCTGAATAGAAAAAACAAAGCCAGCCTGGATCCAGCCAGCTTCTGGAAGCATAGTTGGAGGTGACCTGGACCACCTTGGAGAGAACCATGTTTTCAGTGCTCCTGCCAATGTCACCCCTCTTGTCACTGGCCCCTGCCTTCAGGGTCTTTGCCCTCTGTGCTGCCTCCTCCCCATGGAAGGCTGCTGTAAGCTGCTGTTGCAGGGCCGGGCACTTCCTGGAGGATCCCACCTGGAGTCTTTGCTTCCCATGGTGATGTCCAGCATGTGGAGTCCTTCTACCTCAAGGGGCTGTGAGTCCTTGACCCTGCTGCATCCAAGCACTATCGGGCCCTTTTAGCAGACCCTGGGGGCTGGGCCCCACTACTCAGGCCCTGGATCTCCCAGGTGCTGTTATGAAGCTCTCCTACTGTTCTGTGCTGCCCTAGGGCACCTCAGCTTCCGGAGGGATGGCGGCAGCCTGGGCTCCAGGCTGGGGAATGGCTTATGGATATGGGGACCACAAGACCTGATATTGTGTGACCTGCTGGTGTTCCTTTGGTTCGGCCACAGAGGCACTGTGTTCCCCACCTGCCTGCCCCAGCCAGATATCTGTGTCCTATTCACTGTCTGTGCCTCGGATGTGGATGACGCACCTGGGGGCTTGCTGAATGTGGCCATGCTGACTGCACTGGTCCACTTGCTATCCTCGGAGGGTGACCAGGTCTGCCTTTTGTTGGTGTGGCCCAGTTGTCTCTCCTGTGGCTGTGGGTACCCGACCTGTGCTGGCAGTGAGCTCACACATGTGCTTGTGCAGGTGCACAATTGCCTTTCGTAGACAGGCCAGGCACACACCCTGTGGTACCAAGCACCCTCTGCCCAGGGTTGAGAGGTGCCCCCAGTGGCCTCATCTGCTTTCAGAGGAGCCCCAAGCAGCTGATGTGCCTAGGGGACAGTCCTTGCATATTTTAGCAGGATACTTAGAAAGGGCTCAAGTCAATTTGGCAGGCAGTTACCCTGCTTTGTTATTTTTATTACTCTGAATAGTTTAGTTTTGTTGGGAGATCTGTATTTTGAAATTAGTTGGATGCCAACACTGAGCTTGTTTTCCCAAGTGACAGTCATGTATCACACCAACCGTGATTCTGGTTTGGTTGGTGAGAAAGGCAAGGCTGGCACCAGCTACCTAGAGGCTGTAAAGATGGCTTTCCTGCTCCCTCTGCTAGTACAGAGATGTGGGTGCCTAGCACCCAAAGGCCCCACCCCTGCCTAAGTGGTGTTGGTGAGATGGATGTGGTCAGTGACAGTGGACAAGCAGCCTGAGCTGTGGGTTTCCATCATGAGCACGTCAGGCATTCTTGGGTCCTTCTCTGTTGGAAGCAGATGCTCCTGAGGCTGAGCGTGTGTATCTGTGAGCACACTTGGAGGGCCTAATGTATGGGGCCTCAGCTGTGCCTGAATCAGGGCCAGATCACTAAGTGACTTGGGCCCAGACAGTCTTACTCCCTGAGAGAGCTAGTGGGTATCTCTCTACCCCCGTGCCATTTCTAGGCAGTGGGTGGGGGCTTACTCTGAGGTGGATGAGCTCTGCTGGTTTTGGGCCCAAACATGATGGTGGTGAGAAAAAGAATTGGTAAGAGGAGGAGAAAGAGTATCTGGTACAGAAGGTTCTGGATGTCAAGTCCAATGCCCAGAGCTCAAGAGTGTAGGGTACTATGGTTCGTTGACTCAGCCAGCATTTGTTGGGTGTGTGCTTTGGTTCCATTCAGTTAGCAGGACCATCTCCTAGAGGGACATTTGTGAGAAGCCTGTAGTCGAGAGGGCAGGGGGAAGCATGTGGGGGGAGTCTGCCCTACAGTCCTGTGCCGGTGGGCTTCCCATTTACCTTGCATACTTGTGGCCCTCTGTGTGACTGCAGGCATCTTTTGGGACCTGTGGCTTGGACCAGCTTCACGCCAGAACTGAGTAATGCCCAAGATGATAACACAGAGCTCCAGGCCACTGCTTTGGTGGAAGAAAATTTGACCTGGTCCAACAGAGGTTTGGGTCACCTGCCTGGGTCTCCTTTATG